ATATATACATACATACACAGTATTTGTGCTGATAAGCCTGAGTGTTCTGTTGACTGACCTTTGTATTTGTTCAAATAATTGTTATGGGCAGGTTACAATATAAAAATGTTTGTCATAATCATGTCTTGCGATTATTTGACAGGAGTTTTACTTTTAAAATGTAAGTGTATTTAATTTAGTTATAATGTAAATACAATAAACATTTAACCAAGACTTAGAATAATTATCATTTTGATCCATACATTGGTAATGTCTGACTGGGCCTCGTGCCACTTTACGTTCAATAAATTGGGCCCCGAGGTCAAAAAGGTTAAGAACCCCTGGTTTATACTTCTGATTTAAAGGAAGACCAACAGTTTTTCTGTTAGTTAGATCTGGTGAACCTGAGGACTGAAAACAGTAAACATGGTCAGGAATTGGTGTACTGGTGTACATAAAGATGTATTTTCATAATAACTAGTATTAAAAGCTTGACATAAAATCTCCACAAACTCAATTTTTAGCGTTTAATTGCAATGGTCAGCCCATCCCCCACAGTGAGCATGCTCAGTTCAATTCTCTGGTCCTTGTGTAGCTTCTTGTTGAGATTATCCAGATTCTGTGAGGTGACATCACCGGGAGCAGGATTCACGACCTTTCCACTCCACAGCACCTTCAAATACAGTGACAGAGCTGGTTTCATTCTGCTCCCGTTTCAAAACAGGAACTGGTTTGATGAGCTTCACTCACATTGTCGATTGCAATGACCCCGCCTTTTCGCAAGAGCTCCAGGGACTTCTCATAGTATCTGTCATAGTTGGATTTATCAGCATCGATGAACACAAAGTCATACGTCCCAGCCTCTCCATCTGCTATGAGGTCATCTGATGAAAACGGAAATTAAACATTCAATTCAAACACAAACCTTTACGAAATTACAAGATTTATAAAAGCACTCACTCAGAGTTCTCATCGCTTTTTGATGCCATACGTCAATCTTATTTTCAGCTCCAGCCTACAAAAAAAAAAGGCTAAATTAAACTGCAAGTTATACAAAAATCTTTTTTAAGAGAATGTGTGGAAAGTGTTGAACACCACAATCAGTTTTACTGCTTTGCTTTGCATCTTTATGGGACAGTTTCCTGAGCAGACACCTTTAAACTGTCCAGCCTGCAGGATTTTAGGTAACAGTCTGACAGTAGCACGATGTACGGAAAGCTGTTGGCTGCACAAATGAGATGTGAGACAGGCTACTCAATCTTTAGAAGAAGAAAGACTAATTGGGATGTCAGTGCAATAAACTAGTACTGTGGTATTTCTGTACTGTGATCTACACATAAACTATGTTTTACTTTACCGTCAAACTTGTATTGTTTAGCTGACTGAATACAGTGC